CACCACGCAGTGGTTCGGTTTCACAGCTCCATGTGCAGAAACCGGGTCACAGCTACCCTTACCCTCCTCAGTTCATTTCAGGAGCTGAGAGACTGCCGGGGGCAGAAACGGTTGGCGCATCAAGTGCAGTGTCCCAGGCTTCCAGCAAAATATGTAAACAAAGCGTCATAATTCCCCACACCCCGCAGACTGGAGAAGAATTGAAGACTTGAATATCAGTTTCAGAATGGCCAAAGAATCTGGGTAGTTTCTAGGAAAAGATACCAGCTCTGCCTGGGTCACCCTGTCTTCCAGCCCGCAACCAGTGTTCGCTGTGTACATGCAGCCCTGACGGTCGAGGGATGCTCGCAGGACATCCCAGACCCTCCCAAGTAAAGAAATGCTTTATAAAATAACAGGCGTTTATGCCTTTGCACTGGTATTTGTACGTCTTAGAATTTATGCTAAGAAAATAATTAGACAGCTGAGCAAAGATTTCACATTTAGGTTTCCATAATCCAGAAATATTTTCTCAAATACTCAGAGATCTCTGTCCATCGGCATAGGTGTGTGCATGTGTGCGTGTCTGTTTGCATTTTCACTGTAAAGCCCTTTTTGTCTTACAATGTAATACTAGCCTCAGGTGTGAAGCGCAGTGACGCGACATCCGGGCACACCGTGGAATGTGCGGCAGGAGGAGTGTGGCCTCACCATCGCCACACAGTCACCACAGTATGACGACTGTGTCCCCTGTGCTGTACTTTCAGTCCCCATGGCTTACTTATTTAATGACTGGAAGTTTTTACCTCTTAACCCCCTTCATCTGTTTTGCTCATCTTCCCCACCACCTCCCCTCTGGCAACCACTAGTTTGTTCTTTGTATTTATGAATCTGTTTATGTTTTGTTTTTTAGATATTACATGTAAGTGAAATCATATAGTATTTGTCATTCTCTGACTTACTTTACTTGACATAACACCCTTTACATCCGTCAATGTTGATAAAAATGGCAAGATTCCATTTTTTATGGCTGAGTAATATTGCATTGTATATACAGGTACTCCATCTTTTTTAACCATTTGTCTGCTGATGGACACTTAGGATGTTTCTGTATCTTGGGCATTGTAAATGCTGCAGCGAACATAGGGGTGCATATATATCTTTTTGAATTAGTGTTTTTGATTTCTTCAGGTAAATATGGAGTAGAATTACTGGGTCATATGGTATTTCTCTTTTTAAGTTTTTGAGGCACCTCCACACTGCTTTCCAGAGTGGCTGTACCCCTTTACGTTCCCACAAACAGTGCAGGAGGGCTCCCGTTTCTCCACATCCTTGCCGACACCTGCTGTTTCTTATTGTTTTATACTAACTGTTCTAACTGGTGTGAGGTGGGATCTCATTGCGGTTTCGATTTGCATTTCCCTGAGGAGTAGAGATGTGGGCCATCTTTACATGTGTCTGTTGGCCATCTGTATGTCCTCTTTGGAGAAATGTCTATTCTGGGCATTTGTCTACTTTTTAATTGTATTATTTTTTTGGTGTTGAGCTGTAGGAGTGCTTTGTATATTTCAGGTATCAGCCCCTTATTGGACATGCCGTTCGCAGGTATCTTCTCCGGTCCTTCAGGTTCCTTTTAGTCTTGATGGCGCCTTCAGCGAAAAGCTCTTTAGTCCAATGTATTCACACTGTTTTGTTGGTTGGCCTTGCCTGAGCGAATAGATACAAAAAGGTATTGCTAAGGTTGATGTCTAGGGTGTTTTCTTTTAGGAATTTGGTTGTTTTAGGTCTTACATTTAGTTTTCTAATCTATTTTGAGTGTATTTTTGTATGTGGTGTAAGAAAAGGGTCCAGTTCCATTCTTTTGCAAGTAGCTGCCCAGTTTTCCCATCAGCGTTTATTGAGAGACTCTTTTCTCCCTTGCAGCTTTTATGATTCTTTATCTTTAACTTTGTTTTCTTTTTTGAGAATGAGCTCCATGCCCATCCTGTCCCCTCCAGTGGCTTCTAGGCTGCTGGTTTTCACCACAGTTGCAGGCTTTGTATTTTTTTTTAAATCGAGACATCTTTGACATTTTAATGATTTGGTCCTCCTTGTGTTCTTCTTGGTTGGGGTTCCCTGTGATTCTGGGACCTGGATGCCTGTTTCCTCCGCCAGGTTATGGAGGTTTCAGCTTTTATTTCTGAAGTTTTCAGACCGTGTCTCCCCTCTCCTGTTGGAGCCCATACAGTGCGAGTGTTAGTGTGCTTGGTACTGTCACCTACCTTCGTGTTGTCCAAGTCCCTTTCCTCTTTGCGGTTCCTCTTGGATGATTTCCGCTCCCGTGTCTTCCAGCTCACCAGTCTGTTTTGCATCCTCTAATTTGCTAATTCCCTTAGTGTGTTTTTCTTTTTACCTTTTGAACTTTTGGATTTAAAATTTTTAAAAATTCAAGTATATAAAGGTGACATAGAGGACTGTATTAGTTTCTGTGGACAATATAGTGATTTGACATTTATATAACATGAAATTTTGTGTAGCTGTCATCTGTCTTTGTAAAACGTCATTACAGTGCTATTGACTATATTCTCTGCTGTTTAATCCCTGTGACTAATTTATTTAGTAGCTGGACGTTTGGGCCTCCTGGTCCCTTTCACCTTTGCTCTTATCCTCCCACCCTTCTTTCTACTCACAACGACTAGTTCTCTGTATTTATGTCTGATTCACTGTGGGTGTTTTTTTTGGCTATTTTGTCTGTTTTTTTCCATCCCGCATGTAAGTGAAATCATATGGTATTTGTCTTTCTCTGATTTCACTTGGCATAATGCCCTATATATCTATCCAGATTTCATTATTTAAGGGTAAATAATATTCCACTGTAGATTTATATCACATTTTTTTTATTCATCTGTTGATGGACATGTAGGTTGGTTGTGAATCTTGGCTGATTGTAAATAATGATGCAGCAAAGATAGGGGTACATATGTTTTTCTCATTACTGTTTTCATGTTGTATGGGGAAATACCCATCGTATGTGTTTTTTAATTTTATTTTAATTGTTTAGGACCCCTTACTGGTTTCCCCAGCAGCTATACGGGTTTGCATTCCCACCAGCAGTGCTCGGCCCTCCAGCGTGGCTCTCATTTCAGTGACTGTAACCTTCAGCGCCACTTGGCACTTGATGTTCTGTCTCTGTGTGGAGGTTCCTTCCGAGGCACCTGCTCCCCTGGAAGCTTGAGGGAGCGCGCTGGTGGCCGGTACTCTGATCTCTTTGTCAGGTGGTTCGTCTCCATTTCGTTTAGCTCTTCTCTGGGGTTTTATCTTATTCTTTACTTTGGAACACATTCCCCTGTGCCCTGTTTCTGTGTGTCAGGCCAGCCGTGTCTCCTGGTCTGGGGGCTGTGGCCTCGCGGCAGGCACTGCGCAAGCTCCAGTCACCAGAACCCGGGCTCCCGGGGTCCCATGTGGGCCACCCCTGCCCTGCAGCTGCCACTTCTGCGCTGGCCCTGCCCCATCCCCAGAGCAGCAGTCGCCGGGAGGGAGTGCTGGTCCCCGGCATGGCAGGGTGGAGCCCCCCCTGGAGGTTGCCTGCCAGCCTGGCTGGATCAGGCGGGTCAGGTCTGCCGGGGAAGCTTTGGCCAGGCAGGCGGTGCTAGCAGGGCAGATGCAGGGGGTCAGGACTTGTGCTCCCAGCACTGGGCCAGCTAAGCCAAAGTAGGCAAGGCAGACAGCACCTGCCAGGGCTTCTGTTTCCAGAAAATGTTCCTACAGATCCCTGCCTCTCCAGGACCTGCCCTGAGATGAGTCAGTACATGTCCTTCAGGTGCGGTCCGGGTGCTTCTCAAACTGCTGCCACTGTAAGTGAGATCGTATGTAGGCCCTTTAAGAGCATTTCCTGTAGCCCTTGATTCTCCTCCAGTCCGGGCCTCCTGGTCTTCATAGCTTCTGGAATCAAGCCTCACTGATTTTCAGCCCAGAATCATGGGGGCTTCTCTTCCCCTTGCACATCTCCAGGGCGGCAGGGTGCCCAGGGTGGGGCTCCGGACCCCTTGCTCCTCAGGAAGGACCTTGGGCCTGTGCTGCCCCCCTCTGCCCCCCTGGGTTGCTTTGTGTCCTCCCCCCCGCTCCGAGCCTTTAGCCATGGAGGCACCTTCTGTTGGTCTCCGGAGGTCTCTGGTCTCTGGAGCAGTGCTGTGTGGAGTTACAGCCTTGATGTGTCCATGGGAGGAGGCGAGCTCAGGGGCCGCCTGCCTAGCCCTCCTTCCCTGGTGAAACTAAAACCATTTGTACTTGTGAAACAGTGGAAACAGTCAAAATGCTGACAGAACAAAAATAGTGAAGTATAATGTATCTAGGTTATAATGTTTCTGAAGGATCAGGTTGATCTTTAAGTAAAGATGTGAAAGAAAAGATACAAGATGTATTGGATGGAAGTTATAAAACAAAGTATAGTTTCGCCATTGTGTATATACAGTGGGCACAGGTCTACGTACACATTATACTTGCATATGTGAGGAATGGTCTGGAAGAAACAGCTGATAACTGGAGATGGTCTCTGGGAGCAGACCTGGGATGATGTGTGAATTCTCAGGGTAGAGGAGGCATTATATTTTTGTTTCTTACTCTTGTGTTTGATATTTTAAATGTATAATTTACCTTTATACTGGGCAAAATAGAAGGAAATCATGTAGTAAGTTTTAGGTACATGTTCATTAATATTTAAAATAAATAACTTAGTTGAATTGTTAACTTGTCTATCTGGAAAATGTGGTTTCCCAGAATGATTTGTATACCTGAGACTTCTGTATAAGTAAATTATTTCTGTTTTGTAATGAGACAACAATGAAAGACATTATCAGACTGGACTGTTACTGTGTTCTTTAAAGGCTTGGTAAATAGACATAGTTCAGAAGTCTTACTGTAAGATATTTTGAACCAGTGTCGTGCTAGATGGGCTTATTCTTTGGAGAACTTACATACACTCACATGAGTTTCCATGGCTAAAAAGAGCAAAAGAGGTCACAGTTTTCTCTTCAATCTTTCAGAAAAGCTCAAGAGGAGAACAAGAAGATCGTGCTGGCAGGATGCGTCCCTCAAGCCCAGCCCCGCCAGGACTACCTCAAGGGCCTGAGTGTCGTAGGGGTAAGCTCCCCGAGGGCAGGAAGAGAAGCATTGTTAGAACATGTAAAAGGCCCCATTTCATTTCCTATTTCTGTGTTACTTACAAGTTGTGAGGTTGTCCTCAACATACTTCCCTGTTGCTGCTGAAACTTTGTCACATCTGTGTGACTTTTTCACTTTAGCACAGAAGCATACTCTAAGTTGTACACTGAAGAAAACCCTAGCAGTAAAAATCATCCTATGCAATTTAATTCCCTCGGTAATAACCTGGTGTTTGTCTACCTGTCCAGTTCCACCTCTTACCACGTCTTTGTAGTTTTCCCACTCACTGACTGACTTCTCACCCCCAGGCACAGAGAGAGAGATCCCTTTTCGGAATGCCCCCCTTCCCCTGTACTCAGCCACAGGTTCCAGGGCACCCCGCACAGGTCACCTCCCTCTGACGGCTCTGCAGGCACTGGCGTCCTCTGTCTGGGTCCCCTGCTCCCTGTGCAGCTGCCTGCCACTTGTTCTCTCGGCATTTCAGTTTACTTACCCGATTTTTTTGTTAAGGCCGCCTCTGTATTTAAGTGGTTCACTTCACAGTGGTGCTTTTCAACTTCTTTTTAAACTCTTGCTATTTTTCCCAAGCCTTTCCCACTTACTGTGTGTGGTGTGCAGTAGACACATGACACGTGACTCAGTAAGTGCCTGACACACAGTAGGTAGCGCATGTTTGGTGACTGACCGAACGGAAGACTCTTCTATTATGATCTTACTGCCGGCATGCTTTCCTCCCTGTTGGGCGGTTGGCGCTGCAGCCAGGGGGCGGCTCTTCACGCCCTCTTGCTCCTGTGGTTGCCACTATTCACTGTTCACACTGTTCAAAAAATGCCCAAGGTGCGTGGCACTCGGTCGGGATTTGCTGCCCATGTGCGGTGCTTCCTGCCTCCCAGCAGTCTAATAGGGCTATTCTCACAGGCTCACATGATCTTCTTTAAAAAGGCTTTGTTAAGTTTTAGAGAGTATAAAACACTGTGTACTCATAGGAAAAACTATGTTGAGTCATTGGCATCTGCCCTGAGATTTATTGGGTTCTTCCTTATTTTATCTATTGTTGACAGATTTTTATACTATATTCTTATTGTAGTGAACTTGTTCTCTACTGTGAGCTCCTTGCCCCACTAGCAAATTTAATAATCTTTGAACAAACAGTCGTTTTAAATAAACAGAACCTAAGTGTGTGGGAACTTTACTTAGTTTTCACCATTTGTCTGTTTATATTTTCATTTCTCTTGGTTTAAGGAGTGAAATGAATATGGACTCCTGAGTTATCTTAGTGTGTCACAGTAACTTTCCCCATGAACACAATCTTGCTGTGTTAGGGAAATAAGAAACTAGTTAGAAATTCCGTTTTTGAGATGGAATGTGGTAAAGGCTTGGGATTCATTTCAGATTTCATCTCAAGGAATCAATTTCCTGGATGAGGGGAGCTTAGCCTGGCCTAGGCCTGTCCTCTGTGCACCTTATGGTGACATGTCCTGAACTCCACGTGTGCAGAGCAGAACTCAGTGTGTGTCACGGTGTTGGGGAGATTCCCAAAATGGCATTAGGGAGGGTGCCCACTGCGGGTAAAATATGGATGATAAAAATGTGTGCTTTCCCAGATGATATTTTTCCCCCCTTGAATTTAGCACTCTTTTTGTTCTGCCACCTAGTCTCATTTAATTACCGTTAAAATCATTTAGATTTATTTATTTTTTCTCCTTCACAGTTGGAGAAATAACCTAAGAACATGTTTTAAAATGTGAAAAGAAAGGAAAATATATAATTCCATTATCCTAATTCAATAATTATAACTTTGTCTTTCCCTTTCAGACTTGTAAACTTTGCATATTTTACTTAATTGTAATCTCCAAACTATTTTGCATCCTTATTTTTCCATGAGGTTTCAGACCATTTTAAATCCTGCATTAATAATCTGTTGAAGGATATACCACAATTTGTTTAAGTAAGTCTTAATTGTTGGATATAAGTATTTTCTAATTTTTAGGTAATAATCATAACACATTAATACCCACAGAGGGATTTTTGTTTTAATTTAAAATCCATAGTGTTGTGAAAAGTTTCCAAAAGTGTAATCTCATTATCAGCAGCAATGTTTGAGTTGTAGTTTCAGAATAACACTAAATACTGAAGCTGTAATTAAACTATATAAGATTATTCTTTGTCAACATCATTGTATAAAGAGCACTTTTTCCCTGTGTGCAGCTAAGTAACATTTATCATAACTGACTGTTAGCACATAAAATTTATGTCCACAGAACCTAAAATTTAAAAAAATCAGAGTAGGACACCAAAAATCATCTATCATTGGTGTTTGGAAAGACCTGTTTCTGAATATGATTGTTAGAATTGCTTCAAAATCAGGAACCTTCTGAAATATAGTGAGTTATAATGAAATAAAGGAATGAATTATATTGGTGTATACAAAGAAAAAAATTCTGAGGTATAAAAAAAAATGCACAGATGCTTAGATTCAGTGACTTGGGGAGGTGATCTAAAGGATGTGGGGAATTGTGTTGTCGTTTCTTTATGGACCAAGTGAAAACTTGCTCCTTCACAGAATTTCCACGGTGGGGGGGCGTTAGCAGAGGTCGAAGGATGGACCTGTGACAACATTCTGTGATTTCACCACCTGCCGGGGTTTGTGTGCGGTACCCCACAGTGCAGGGAGGATGTGTCCTTTCTGTTGACGGAGGGAGGGAAATAAAAAGCTGCCTGTCGGTGGGGATCTGTGAGTGAGCAAGCTGCTTACTCCACACCTGAGTTAAGAAGGTACGCTGTCCCCCGCTTACAGGCGCTCGTGGAATAGACATTTCAGAAGATATTAAATGAGTGAGAAGGATACCACTGCCACCGTAACATGCTCTGTCTATCCGTGTCAGCCTTTAGAAATGAGGCATTTGATTTTTTTCGTAGTCAGAGATAGTGAGGTGAGGGCAGAGGACTTGGTGATTTGACCCCTGTGCCTTTTATCATCTATCCTACTGTCTCCTGAAATCTAGTTGTGGTTAATATTATTTGTGTATGTTGCACAGAGAGACAATAACAGAGTATCAAAACCAGAAGTTAAACCCATTCACCATTGGGTCCAGAAGGACTGGCCTCCGTGGCAGTCAGCCCCGCCTGCCCATCTCATCCTGAGCACAGAGCCGCCTTATTTCTTCACGTTGGCAGAGGGGAGGGAATAGATTGGAAAACATAGGTACCTTGGATAAAAAGATCTTTTTTAAACCAAAACGTTTTTCTTAGCATGATTAAATGGAGTTTCTATTTTATGTCTAGAATATATGTATTTGTGGGTAATAAGTACAGAATCAAGATCTTTAAAAGTATTTTTTCAGTATCTTAAAACATCTTGCTTCGTAGTGAAAAATTTCATTTATTTTTTGGCAAATAGTTATGGTTGAAATGAGTTTTCATGCAATGCCATTTTTAAAAATCACTGCTATTACTTGTTTACTCTGGTTACTCTGTCTAGCTGTGTGTAGTTCCCAGGTCATGTGACTGTCACCACCGAGTGCTGCTCTCCTCTCTCAGCTCGTGTGTTGCGGAAGTTCCTTTAGAGTAGCGGCCAGAGGCTGGGTGATCTCTTGTGAGGTCTGGAAGGAAGCGGAAGCGTACACGTTAGGACTCAGAGAGTGTGGCTTCAGATCTCAGGGCTGCCACTACAAAGACAGCCACAAAAGTGTATGTTTTGTGTTGATTGTCATTCTTTCCTCAGTTCAGCAAGTACTGAGTGCCTGCTCTGTGCTAGCTGCTAGTCCCAGTGCTACTTACTGTTCCGGGAGTGCAGCCATGTATGAAATCTTCAAAGAGCCCTCTCCTCATGGAGATGACTTTCCAGTTCTTGGGGAGAAACATCTTTGAGCCTACGACATCTCCAGCACCACAGAGAGATTGATTAGTTGGGAATTTCTTGCCAAGGCGCAGGTGGAGATAGCTTTTATGTCCACTAGTTAGGAGCTTTGTCGGGGGCAGATGGATGAGCATGCACTTCACCTGCTTGAGTTCTTCAGGCAGTGTGTTTCTCAGTTGTGCAGGTAGTTCTCATTAATAGGTGGGCCATCTATTAGGAAGGTTGGTTTTCAGTTTGTTGCCGGAAAAATCCACAAAATTGTACATTCTATGCTGATTTTCTGTGCTAATAAACAAGGACTACATTCGAATGTGGTCTTAGTGGCGGTTCATCAGGCTTCTTTTTACCTGGGTACTCGCTCTAGAATCCTAAGTAAACTGTGAATCAAGGCATGGCTGCGACATTTTAGAACATGCAGTTAACAGCAGAATATATGATTTGATGTTGAAAATTTGTAAGTGACCAAACTTCCTGATGTGTGGGCTGTGGGCCCTGCAGGCAGGTGCACGTTTTCTTTGGAGAGCTGAACAAAAAACGTGGTCTAACACAGGTCCTCTCAAGGGCTACCCAGGCTGGTGGGCAGCAGTTTGACACCTTTTCAGGCTGCTCTAATCCTGAGAAGTCAGACAGCATGATGACGATTTCAAATCTCAGAATTTTAATTTTGAGACTTATGTGTATAAATACAACAGTGTTTGAAAGAGGCTGTGTTTGAGACTATTTCTATCACATACTACATTGCAAAAAGTGAATAAATCATGAAGGGGAATGTGTCACAGTAATAGTGGCATTGATACTGAGAGGGCTGCTGTTGAAACTCTGCCTTCCTGTTTCTCTCTACCTCCTAGCTTCCAATATTTCTTCTTGTCATATTCCATTCTTTTATTTTAATTACCAGAAAGGCAGTATCATAATAGAATGATTATGGAGCCCAAGACTTTTAACTTTAGTTGAAACTTAAGTTAAAAGGTTAAAAGCCATCCACCTTCCTAGACCTGTTTGCACTTTTTTGTGGCTTCTTCTCCTTTCTCCTGTGTATTGCACACTTTTCACCTATTGGATTGTGAGACAGTAGTGTGTCACAGGAGTTTAGAGCATATTCAGGAGCTACATTGCATAG